TTTCTCTGTTTTGTAAATATTCTAGTCAAAGTGTAAAAACTTCAAAATTTCAATTATTTAAATAAGTTTTTATTGCACGTAATCAAAACCAAACTAACTAATTTGCTACTATTGTTCAATCACAACAACCGGCAAATCCTTAAAAGTCCCTCTCAGTTTCTGTAATTAAAAAATAGGTATTTGCAAGAATGTCATTTTCCTTCATTTTATTCTGTAAAATGTGCTGGCATAACTGCACATTCCTTAACTTTTTTAATCAATGTCGTACCAAGAAGAGATAAATGTAATTTTCTAAAAGTGGACGGTGCATCGCGCTTGTAATTAAAAATGCAACTGAATTCAAAGTATTGGCCTCATAATTTGCTAGAAGTATTCAATATCCGGAGACAAAGGTATCTTGCAGGTTTCTCTTACAATTCTGCAGAAGTAGAACATTCCAAGAACGCCGAAGAAAATTCCCGGTCGAAATTCATAATTGAAGCATCATGCCGGGATGCAATATCTCGACGTGCAGGTACATGCCCCTATCCTACCGTGCTAAGGAAGAACGCCGTAAGAGCCTTCAGACGTCGCCAAATTTCTTTCTATAAAATATGATTTTTCGGGGGAATCTATGCGTATTTTTTCTCCGATTTTTAGAGTATTTTATTCGCAATCAGATCTAAATTATCTGAACATTTCAAGAGAAGATATTTCACAACTGGACCGCGTTTAACAGATAGGAACCAAGCCACATCAGCTATTGCCAAATTTAACTGGGCTATCAATTTTTTCGAAAGAGAACGTTTTTGTGGATTCCTTTGAAAATTTTAGGAAATTTTCCTCGTACCATGCAGAAAATTCACTGAAATTTTCACAAAAATCCGCATGATCGTTTTCGTGTAAAAAATTAAATTCCCCGGTTTTTGGCGGTAGCTGATGTGGCTTGGTTCCTTTCTGCTTAACGCGGTCCAACTCTCCTAAAAAATAAACATTTTATCGGAGGAAATTTGGCAACTCTTGAATGTTCATACGGCGTTGTTCCTTGGCACGGCAGTATTCTCCTCTAGCATTCCTAGTTCTATCTAAACGAATCTGTCACTCAAGCACAAACGTTCGGGATTGAATGCACTTCGTTTTATCCTGAGGCGCCCCAGCGGAAATGATTGTTGCACATCTTTTCCATGAAAATTCCACCATCGCAATCCAGCGTTCCGATAGCTAAAGTGCGAAACCACGTATCGCCGTTTTGCAATATCACAGACCTCTCGTCATATTTTATTTTTTTCGTAGGAAAACTAGTCGACGTAATTTCATAAAAACTTTCTTGGTTTTTCTCTCCGTTATCAGAATATTCTGTACAAATTTCAAGGTATGAAACTGGCTTGCCTCTCTTCGAGACAATAAAATAAAAGCTAGAATTTTGAAACGCTGCGATGAAAGTACGTGGTTTTGCACTTTTGCCATCGAATTAGATGCCTTTTATTGTCAAGAAAACGCTGACAGGCGTAAGTAAAATGGACGTATTTAAATCAAAAGGAGCGATGCCATTCTGACAAGAGTTAGGGAGCCTTTAGATCCATAAATATACATGGATGACAGGGCTCATGTCTCTCAGTGGCGTGGCGTAAATTGCGATGTATCGATTGTTATGCAATTTAAACCCATGATAAAGAATCTATTTTTAAGGTGCTCGCTACGAACACCCTGTTCATCGATCCTTTTCCATAGGTTTAAATGGCATGACAATCGATGTATCGGAATGCACGCCACGCCACTGATGTCAGTATTTCTTTTGATTTAAATGCGTCTAAATGACATTTTCCAAATCAGGTGTACATCATGAAATCATCTTCGACCTCTGCACGCATCAACATTGACAGTTCTGAATTGGAGAACGCTTCGACTGTTTTAATTGTTCTATTTAAGTAAAATCTAAGAGAGGAAATATACTTTTATGCGTAGGTGAAAGGGAAGAAAAGCCAATAATAATCTTATCGGTATCTAGCCGAGAGAGCAAGAAGTGAAAATGTGTAACCTCCTTATCGGTCACTTGTATTTGACTTGAAGCGATACCCATTGATGATCTATGTAGGCCTTGTTGCCTATCAAAATTTTGAAGGAACTTCATTTTCGGTGACACCGAAGCATTCGCGAACATTTAGTATACCATTCCGTCTCTGAGGCACACAGACGATAGACGTTAGATAATACAAATACAAGACAAAGACAAGGCAGTACAAGACTAATTGCTTAAAATTTAAATAATAATAATAAGAATTTAAACAGTTTAGACTAAAAATGTGAAAATCTTTGTCATAGGCATTGCCATGTGCTGTCATTTGTTTAGTATCCGATAATCCCGTTACGGATGACTTAAAATTAAAATGTAGAAATATTTTAAAGAAAATGTAGACGGTTTTTGACTAAAAATTTGAAAGTCATTTGTTTTGTGAGTCAAATGCTTGAAAGCCATGGTTCCATCCGGTTATCGAAGATGAGCACGGTTGTAATAGAATTTTGCTAATAGGATATTTGGCTTCCATAAAATTACATTTCAAATCATTGGTACCGTTGAAAGCATTTACATCAAAAGAAACTATACCCACTAAGACATAAGTCTTGTAATACATGTGCTCTAGATCTCAGGACTCATATGGACGTATTTATGCTAAAAGGAACTATTTGCATAGGGTTTGCGTGTAACATAGTTCCTTTTAGCTTAAATACGTCTATATTATAGTGGATATAGTTCCTTTTGATACAAGGATTCGGTGAGTGGGAATTTTTGATAATTGCGGTGATTGGCTCCAAAAGGTCCATTCTTTATTTCCTTTCTAGAAAAAACATATAAAAAGTAAAATTAAAAGTTGGGAAGTCTACATCCTTGTAAATTATGGAATGAGTTCGTTTTCAAACCTATTTCTTTGTCGGCATTCCAGTATTGATATTGCACCCAGATTCTTTATGCGTTGTTTCTGAACAACACCGATCTGAATCCTGTAGCTTGGTCAGAACCAAGCTACAAAATAGTCAGGAAATTTCTCTCAAAATTCATCTCATTTCCATCACCCTCAGAGTTGCCAAAAATGTTCATTTATTCATCTGTCGTTACATCGAGCTATATTGCAAGTAGGAAACTAGAATAACTGGGAACTTGGTAACAACGACGGTTCTATTCCATTCCGCGAAATCAATTCAAGGATTTTGTAATTAGTTTACGTTGAGTAGCGTTTGTCAGACCTCAATCAGAGCAGCGGTGAGGCTTGAATGATCGATTATCGATATTTTCCAATTCGAAGCTTTGGTAAAGAATCGATTGTTAAGGTGTTCGTTGCGGACACCCTTTTTATCGATCCTTTTCCATACTTTTAAAAACCAGATCAATCGATACATCGCAAATCACTCCACGCCACTGAATCCGAGACGGAGTTTCTAGCGACCAAGTTCTCTTTGCAGTATCTAAGTCATTAAAGTTTGATTTCATATTGAGCAATGTGTCTCCTCTTTCATAATCTTCAGAAGTTTTGACAAGGATTTTTCCAGACTTTATGTCTCTGTAGATTAGGACATATTGTGACCTATATTAACTTTTTCTCAAGTTAAGTTTTTTTTTTCAATTTATTGACGGCAAAAACGGTGAATCGCTGATGCTAGTAATTTATTTTAAAGGAAAGTAGAAAATCCACGTTTATAGGTGCTTCAGCATTTTTTAATTCGCTGTCGTTGAAGTATTCTTATCAAGGATCAATATGAGTATAGGAAAAATGAAACATCAGAGGATCAATGGAAAATTCAGCTCCTGCAAAGGGAGTATACCAAGATCTTGTTTGAAAATTCGAAGTTCTTTAATTGTCAGAAACCAGGCTATTGATAATCCAGTTATCTTGATATTTTTAGTCGTTTTCTTGTTCCAAAATGTTCGTTGAAGTCCACTTTGATATCTTATGAATAACTCAATTTTTATGTTTCTGTGGACTAACGACCCCGTTTTCGTGAGCGGTCACATATCATGTTGTTCACTCCCAGTAAACTTATTTCGATGGTCAAAGTGCGGAGCCACATATATCCATTGCAGTGTTTCAAAATTTCCGCCACTATCTTATTTTTCAAGGAAAAACAAGACTACTTTATCGTTTGAAATTTCTGCAGAATATCCTCCAAATAGAGAAGAAAAATCAAAGAAGTTTCCAAGGACCTGCGTTGACTGGTTTTCCTTAGAAGAAATAAAATATGATAGGAACCCTACAACATCGCAAACGGAGTTACAAGGTCTCGCACTTTAGCCATCGATAGTATACACAGGAAGCATTCCCATTTGTATTCTGAAAGTTTCATTTAATTTGCCAACCCATGCATACAGTAGCTAACCAACAAGACAATGACCCATCAAACTCTTCCTGAGATAAAGTGTGATCTTTCCTTGTCGCATAGCAGTCAAAAATCCCTGAGGATTGAAAAATCCTGTCAGGAAAAATCAAGGGAGTTTCCAAGAAATCGCCTCAAGTAATTTTTCAAAGAGGAATTAAAATATGATAGGAAGTCTGCATATCCGGAAGCGGACACAGGAAAAAAGATTGGTAGAATTTACCATTCCTTCACGCTGTATTTCACACACCTAATTCAGAGTCAATTTTGCCAGAAGAAAGATAAACGTTAATGTATACTGGTACATGCAACCATTCCTCAGACAGAATCGACTTTGAATTCACGCTGTGTAAAATGCAGCGTGAAGGAATGGTAAATTCTACCAATCTTTTTTTTTTCTTTTTTTTTTCAGTGGAGATACTATACAACGGTGCTTATGCACTTTAGCCACTTATTCCACTCAGGAGTTATGACTCAGAGAGCCTCTTTGAATGTTCCACCTTGAATCACCATCGACACCAGCAATTCAATCGAGCTGCTGGTGTCGATGGATTACACGGATCAAATGTTTACCCGCAGAAACATGGTGTGTAGCACCTTGATTATTTGATACTGATTAATTGACACTGATTATTGGTGTGTTGGTGTTTCAGTTGTCTGAACCGGGCTGACGTGATCAAAGTATACGACGGGAGGAGCAACCTGGCGCCGACGATAGCCATGCTCTGCAACGAGGTGACAGAGCAAGAGGTCCTGTCCACCGGCTCCGACATGTACATCGAATTCATATCAAACTCCGACCTCCCAGGTCAAGGTTTCAAGGCCCTCTTCCAGTTTCAGCCGGTTGCAACCTTGACCACGACCAGCGATAGGTTGCACTCTATCGGTAAGCTCAATCAGAAATACCTACTTGTAACCTGGATATCCTTGAGCGAAGGGCTGGTTCTATCACCTCTGGTCAAACTGCACGTTAAATGGAGATGTTGCATGTGTGTCAAATTTGCGATTTGACTATTGATTCTCATGTAAAAGTTCGCGAGAGTCACGATGGTGCCACTGGTTTTCTCTGAAATCAACTCCCAAGCTCAGAAAAGCTCTCAAGTTGAGGCCAAAATGGAGGGGATATCCCACGCTATCCTGCGAGTCCACCTCTACATCAAGACAAACTCTCCATGCAAAGATAGGGAGCAAATACATTGACAGGGCTGCCACTTTATTTGGGGACTCCAAAACTGAAAACACGGCATCACTGCTAATGTATTTGCTCCCTGTCTTTGCATGGAGAGTTTGTTTTGATGTAGAGGTGGACTCTCAGGATAGCGTGGGATATCCCCTCCATTTTGGCCTCAACTTGAGAGCTTTTTTTGAGCTTGGGAGATTTTTAGAAAAATGGAAAATTGGGATTTGATGTTAAATTAAAGGGAAACTAAGCGGCGAAATATGCTGCGATGAGTCGTACGGATGTGAAAAGAGCGTTGTGGATGGGGCTCATGAATCAAATGACGTCAACTTGAATCTCCTCGTCCCCGTAGTCGCCGCTGCATAACATCACCGGCGCTTTATAATTCCCATTCATTTTTACGGCCGTCAACTAACGAGCACACTTTTTGAGTAAGGATGATAGAATTGGCCCTAAGTAAAATATGTACAGTCATTGGAGTGCTACCAATAAGTGACTTCATTAGATGTATATAGCATTGCTAAAATAGGGTTTTTATCGATCCATAATGTGCTGGTCACACGCTCAAATTCCCATCAATTTCCGATCAAATGGTGACTGGTGCGCACCATCTACCATCAAATTTCTGCGGCCTGCAAACATTTGATGGTAGATGATGGAGCTGTGGGGCTCATCCTTCATCTGGTTTCCACACAACCGTGCTTATTTCATGCTTATTTCAATCAACACGATCTTTTAATTAATTTTACTCATCAATCTAGATAACTATCGACCGTCATCTTGGTCATCATTTTGATCGGAATTTGACGGGAATTTGATCGTGTAACCCGGGCCATAACGATTCATCAATCGATATGCAGGTTTAAACTGATCAACTGGAGGAGCGTGTTGTAAGGGTCAAAGTAAGACCTTTTTTTTTCATACGATTTTTCCCTAAGTGCCGTCAGTTGAAACTATGCCCCTCATCCAATTTGTGAGAAGATGTCAGGTGTGTTCGTGGGATGTGTGTTGTCAAAAATGTATACCCTCCCCCTTATTTTTAGCTCTCAATATATCAACGGCCTTAAGAAAATCGACATCAAGCGTAAATGGGGAATATTGGGGGATTTTGGATGTCTCAGGATATAAAACATGGTTTCAACCCCCTCCCAACCTTTGACCCTCTGAAATTTTCTTTTAAATTGAGATGCCAATTTTTTAAGGCCTTACATGAATCCAACAATGAACGTTACAGGGAGTCACAATTAAACTAACGTGTACAACACCTAAACGTAATTGCTCTGACGTGATACAATTTTCAAGTTATATTTTTGAACTTTATTGGACAGTCAGTACAAAATGTATATTTTATTCTTGGAACAACTTTCAATTTTTTTAAAATTATTCTTTTTATGTTTTTCAATTCTTTCAGAGACTGAAAAAAGTACCTTAGCAACAGGACCTGTCACGCATATTAAAAAAATGCCTGATACGGGATCACCTGCAACTACAAGTAAGTCACTGGCACAATTAATCTTGCTTCATGTTAATAACTGGGAGACATTTCTTCTCATTGTGTATAAAGGCACGACCGAACTGAATGATAATCACGATGCACTCTTTTTCAATCATTATGTAATATGCGTGATGCAATATTTACTTTTGGATTTGATCAATACGCACAATTTCATTTCTCTCTATGACTCTGAACAAATGTTTTTCGAGAAATAATAAAGCAGTTTGTTGACATGACCCGTCAAAGTAGATATTTGAATGATTATTTTGCATTTCCAGAGTATTTAAGTTGAAAGATGATCTGAATGGAACGTAAGTAAGTTATGGATGCAGTTTAACTTTCCCAAGGAAAACTAGGGGAGCGAGAAAGTAAAAACCTTCCCCCTAGAGACAATTTTAAGAGACTTGAAATGAGAGTAAATATATTTGGAGATTCCATTCCAGGAAGAAATGTTCATTCAAGTAATTTTCAACGTAATTCCTCTCTTTTCAACCTCCAACAATAATATTACTTGGATCATTCCCTAAATTTTTCACCACGCAGTGTGAAATAAGAAGTCATTTTGTTGGAATTTTGAAGCACAATTTACTCTTATTTTTTTTAACTTTTTTAGCGCCAATGACACCAACAACAGACGCCGACCTTGACATAGAACTGTCGGAACCTGAAATGACGACACAGAGACCTAAGAAAGTTGTGGTGTGTCCAAGAGGCAGGTGGAAAAAATATTACTGAGATATGACCCTTTCCTAGCGAATCCTAACTACAAAAATTCAAATGAAGTAGATTGGTCCGATAGTTATTTAGATCTGTCTCGTCCGACTATCCACCTGTTTACTTGTAGGATATCGTATTGGAACTTTCGTCTGTTTTCATTCCTGAATAGATTATCCTTTCTTTTGAGATTCATTAGTTCATTTTCCCGTAACTCCTTATTAAAGTAACATCAATAACTATGCCAGTTGATACGATCATACCATTCCATTACGTAAACTAAATAGCCTCGTATATTTGAGCCGCCGCCGCGTGCTGCCGTAGCTCGTATCGCACATTAGCCCCTACAAACCTAAAGGGATACTTCAAGCATTGCGTAATGCTTGAAGTATAGGTTTGTAGGCGTCAGTGCGCGTTTAGCGCTAGCAGCACGCCGACGCGCCGATACCTCTATCTGAGCTTCTTTTTAGAGCTGAAAAAACAGATGTGAAGTTTTACTAAAGGTTTATCCAAATTGACTCAGTTATTGTCATAGGAGAGATCGTAGTTTTTCTAAGAGTCCACGCCCCTCTTTGTAGAACCCCAAGTGTTTCCGTTAATAATATGTCTTATAGCCCCCGAGTGTCCATCTCACGACAGCACATTTTTACTTCCGCCTTCTCAAGGAATCTTCGTTGCCCTATACCAGTACAAAAACTGCGAACGCGTTGCACTTTGCTTAGAAAATTAATCGTGTGAATATAATACTGTGTAGTAATATTGGTAGCTCCCAAGTGTGTCCATTCAACAAAATTGTACCCCCCCTTCTTCCCTTCTTTAGCGTAGAGGATGTTTCAGAAAGCTCCATACCTAATGGACCGCGTTTAACAGAAAGGAACCAAGCCACATTAGCAATTGCCAAATTTAACTGGGCACTTTATTTTTTTACATAACGTTTGTACGGATTCCTTTGAAAATTTTAAGGAATTTGTCTCGCACCATGTAGAAAATTCACTGTATGCACACAAATCCGCACAATGGTTTTAATTTGCAACATTAAATTGCCCGATCAAATTTGGCAATAGCTGTTGTAGTTTGGTTCCTTTCTGCTTAACGCGGACTAAACACCGCACCTTACCAATTGTCAATAAATGTAAAAGTGACTCAAAAGCAAGCGGAATTGCTGGTTTTACCCCATGAAGAAGGACATCCTTATTTCCCAGTGTTGTTTGTTTTCGGTAACCGTTGAATACTTTTCCTTGCATTTTTTATCGGTTTGCAGAATATCCATCAGTTTTAAGCACTATCTCCAAAACTTTAGCATTCTTTTTTTTGTTTTTCTTTTTCGCCGAAATTCTGTTTTATTTTTTATATCAGCATCGGCGTATGTCAAACCCGCCGCAGAGTTTTGCAGTTTTGAGGACTAAATCATAATCTTTAGAGAGAGTTAGAGCGTGTCTCAATAAAATTATTCATCACACATTTTTCAAAGAACAATACTTTTGCCTCTAAATAACCGTTTTTAGAATACTGTATTATGGTCTGATGACGATCATTTTAACAAAAAAAATAAATTGGGAGGTGATACAGATGTAGGAGCATTAGAGAATTTTCGTAAGAAATACAACTTTTAATTACTGTTTTATAATACCTCAATGATAATGGGTAGTTTGTTTCACCGAAAATTGATTATTCGATTAGAGTAAAATATGAAAAAAGGTAAAGGAGCGCCAAAGAACTCGAACCCTCTGAGAATAGCAATAACTTTCGAATATGTAATGGCATCGTCACTCCTTATTCATCCCTTGATGTCGCGAGGAAAAAAATCTCAACTTCTAAAGTTGTAAAAATCCTCGCATAATACCTTCCAGGCGAGAGGAATATGAAACTAAGTCGAACTCTATCTCATAAGTTTAAATTCGGTGAAATCGAGCGTTGTGAAAGAATGTTACACAAATCCTCTTTGCGGCATCATACTCCCGTATTCTGAAGCATTGATTATAATCTCCTCCAACTCAAGAACGAAGTTGTCAATTTGAGAATATTTATGCCCTCGGTTCCGACCCAGCTTATGCAGCACTGCAGCGTCCTCAATGTCGGATTTTGTGACCTATGTAAGAGGGCGACAGGTAACGGAGCAAAATTCAAATCGATTGTGATACCGCAAGAACGTATATCTCATTTCGCGAAGTTGTAGGCTTCTCGTTTTATTTTATTTTCTAAATGGAAGAATTTTGAGCGTCATTTTTCAAAATTTTCCTAATTATTCCTATTTTTCTCTGCTGTGCGATCTGTAAAAAGTTTCTTTTTCCCAAGATTATTCGGAGGAAAATTGAATAAAACCCCGAATTCTGTGAGAAAATTTTTCCCATATGATATCAGGAAATGAGATGAATCGAGAATTATAGACAGTTGGCTAGAACCAACGAAATTTGGGAAAGATAGATTGTCATTTATGGGTCGGACTCAACAATTCTACTGTATACTCTGCATTATACGTGACATTTTGGTTTGGAAGCATACGTTACAATACTTAATTTCAAACATTGTCTAGGTTGGCGATTCAGCCCCTCTGGATTTGATTAAAACTGTCCAAAATTCGCTCAGAGTATTAAAACCTTTCCTTCGCCTTAAAAATAAACAGATTTGACTCGATTATCACCTGAGTCCCCGACAAGATGGTGATGCGTTCAAAACAGAGCTCATCTTAAAAAACATAAACGTGATTTCTTATCGGCGGAGAAACGAAGTGCTCAAAATTCCGCACCGTAGGGTGGCTTATGAACGCGTAACAGCCGAGGCTAAAATAACGGTTTCATTAAACGGGTTTTAGCGTTTTAGACTTGTGAAGCTCCCTTAGAATTTTGCTGTAAGAGCCGCATTGTATAAAGTGCGTTTCACACAAAAGGCATCTCTGCCATGGAACCAGTGAGCGCCTCAATCCACGACGCACAGTGGATCGAGTAAATCAGAGAGGACGGACATGAAATTTTTGACAGACGCACTGAAAACTTAGTTGTTCATTTCGTCACATTTTAATTATTGATGGGTGTATCTAGAGGAAAATTTAACGAGGAAGCCAATGGAACCACTTTTAAACCCTCCAACCCTAGTAGCAGAACAAATTTTTGTTTTTCTAAAAAAAGTATAAAAAAAACATATCTGTTATCTAAATGATCGTTTTATATAAAAAACGTGTAACGCTTATATATAAAAAAATCAAAGTTCAGACCTGACCGTAATATATGAAAAATGATAAAAGATAGATAAGATAATTTTTTTTTATACACACATTTTTTATTTTTTTATATAACGCATGCATACGAAAGTGTTAAAAGTGAACATCTTTTAGTAACGATTATATAACAAAATAGGTCATCATTTTCGTGAGCTTTTCGCGAATTAGAACAATTTTTAGTATGTTCGCGAAAAGCTCACGAAAATTATAACTTTTTTTTATATAATGGTTACATAAAAATGTTCACTTTTAACACTTTTGTATGCATGCATTACATAAAAAAAATTAACTTTCGTACTTAATATTTATCTTTTCCTACTGTGGTTCTGCTACTAGGGAAGTTTTTCATGAACGGAGTATGAGCTTTTAAAATTGTGTCCGACTTCTCCCGTTGACTCGATCCAGTGTGCGACGCGACAACCCCCAATTGTATTACCCTTAGTCCCATCATCCTTATCATCACGTCCAAACTCAGGGTTGCATATTAGGAAAATTTGCGGATGATCAGTCACTTTTGAGTTTACTACATAATTAGAAAAATCAAGCGGGAAACCTGTAATACGCTCGTGTTGGAGAAGCACTCGGCTATTTTCTATGTAGGCGCGTTCTTAAGTTCCCCGAAGAAGATGAGCACCGTTGAGATGAATGGACTCATTCACCAAAATTTCAACTATCAATGGAGATGTTGCATGTGTGAGGAATTTGCGATTTGACTATTGATACGTATGTAAAAGTTGGCGAGAAACACGATGGTGTCACTAGTTTTCTCTGAAATTAACTCCCAAGCTCAAAAAAAGCTCTCAAGTTGAGGCCTTAATAGAGGGGACATCCCACGCTATTCTGAGAGTCCACCTCTACATTAAAACAAACTCTCCACATGCAAAGATAGGGAGAAAATACATTGACAGGGCTGCCACTTTATTTGGGGACTCTAAAACTGAAAACACGGCATCACTACTAATATATTTGCTCCCTGTCTTTGCATGGAGAGTTTGTTTTGATGTAGAGGTGGACTCTCAGCATAGCGTGGGATATCCCCTCCATTTTGGCCTCAACTTGAGAGCTT